TGTCTGCCATTTTCTTCTTGCCTACTATTTCCTGGTTTATTTTGTTGTTCTTGTTATATGAAATAGGCCCTAAAATACTTTTTAAGAATTGTAAATATAATTGTCTGTAAAGGTATTTCATAGATTTCATAGACATTAGGGCTGGAAGGGACCTCGGAAGATCATTAAGTCCAGCCCCCTGCCCGAAGGGCAGGAAGTCAGCTGGGGTCATAGAATAACTCTGCTCATTGCTGTCTGCTTAAGTTTGCCAGAAGCCTGCAATGATTTCTATACGGCACACAAGCTGATTTCACCCATTGCATTTTGGTGTGAAATGATAACTTAAATGGCAAGATGATTAATGATTTTTCACCTGATCAAAGTATAACCCACTAGTGGGTGTTCACAAATGGATACAAACTGGTTAGGGACAAATTTAAGTTCAGCAGTCAACACACGGGTTTAAATATTTACAGTCTGCATATTAGAGTCACCAGGGAACTATCTCCGTGCAGTTAATGTCAGGGGATCCCGGGCTTCAAGGCTTCTGCTGGTCACCTGTAGGGGCCAGGAATGAATAGTTTCCTCATAAATGCTTTATTTGCTTTGGGGGCTATGAGGACTGCTTTCCTGTCAAACACTGGACATTGGCCATGGCTAAAGGAGGGATCATGGACTGGGATATGTCAATTCTTTTGATACTCAGACATGTCTCAAGTTCCTGGCTGGAAAGTCTTGCTCTTCCATTCCAGGTCAAACCAATCACCAGATGTAGGGACAGGAAGGAATTTCTCTCCCAGGTCCAACTGGCAAGGACTGTGGAGGTGTTTGCCCACCTCTGTAGTATGGGGCATTGTTTGCTTCCTAGGATCTTTCCTGGGCATTGCAGTGGCAGGGCATTGACAGTCCCTTGATTTCCCCTACTGTTATCTTGTACCTTATAGGATGTTTCTAGTTTTGTTTCCATAGTGTGCTTTAAGGCTCTGGTGTGTGAGGGGTTAGAGTAAATGATTTTTAGGATTATCTGGGTAAATGGCTACCTGCAAGCACAGAGAACTAGATTCAGTGACCCAGGAGACCCCTTCCAGCCCTAAGATCTATTACAGGTCCAATCTGGAAACAACAGGGGTCTATAAGGCCTGCTAGGCAACTACAGCAGTGCACGCTTTTGGTTTTGGAGGTCACATAAGCGTTGGGGGGGTGGGGGGAGAGGAACAGCCGTATTACTGCAGTCTGCCCAATCTAATGAGGCTGGAATCTAGGCAAACAGAGCCTGGGAGAGGTCCAAAGGGCTCCATCCTCACCCTCTGCCTCCAGTCTCAGTGGGAGTAGGCCCAGGTGCCGTATGTCACCTAGGGGTCCTGCTTGTGGCTGGCTAGGGGTTGGAAGTCCCAGGTCAGCCCTGCTTTTTCCCTTCCCCTTGTTTCACAGCTCTCTCTCTCTGCCTTTCTATCAACCCAATCTCAGTACTTGCAGGTACAACAGCAATAAGTGACATTTTAAAAAACTGCTCATTGCTTGGGTAACAGGTTAAAAAGTAAATAGGCCTCTGTATGTACACAATTCAGGATTTAGTTTTTACCTCTTGTTCTCCAACTCTGTGGCTACAAGCTGCCTCCAAAGGCCTGATAGAAAATCAATTCAGCTGTGAGACTTTATTGATATGACCAGCTAGGCAAATATTGCCAAAGCACAGAAAAAGAAACTTATTGTGTGTGGGTACTACCCATGCAGAACAGGGGTTACGTGGTGTTTCAGATTTGATTCAACCTACATTGGCCAGTACTGAGCTCACCATGTCTGGGGAAGCTGGTTACAGCACAGCTGCTTCAACAGAGGGGACTATAAGATCATTTAGTCTCATCTCCTGTATAGCACAGGCCATTACATTCCCCCAGTTATCCCTGCCCTAAGCCCCATAACTTGCATTTGGCTACATCATCTCTTGCAGGAAGGCAGTCAGCATGGATCTGAAGACATCAAATGATGGAGAATCTACCACTTCCTTCCAGTGGTCCAATGGTGAATCATCCTCACTGTCAAAAATATGCACTTTAGTTCTCATTTGAATGCATCTGGCTTTAACTTCCAGCCATTGGCTCTTTTCAGGTCTTTCTCTGCTAGATTAGTAGCTGGTATTTTCTCCCCTGTGAGAATACTCTGGCAGCATCTTCAAATCACTGTTTGATCTTCAATTCAGATAAGCTAAACAGAACAAGCTGCCTAAGGACTTGAACATCAGATACATTGACACTGATGTAATCAGCTTTCATACCAATGTGAAGAGGACCAGGGCTGAGGTGGGGAGGGATGTAGACACATGATCTACAATCTTACACTGCTGTCACTTGAATCCAGTGTAGAATTACCCTTAGGAAAAAATCAGCGGTAAAACTATACTGATGTAAGTTAGACTGGTATAGGCGTCTTGTGTCCACAGTTTACCCCAGGGTAGCTGTTTGCTTGAGATAAAAAGGATTCCATCCTGAGTTCTGCCATTAAACTGCTGTCTGTGTGAAGGCAGGCAAGCCCCTTCAGCTCCCTTTGCTTCAATTTCTCAAGCTGTTAAATGGGAAAAATGGGATCCCTTTATTTTGACAGAGTGCTTTGAAACCTATCCTGGCAAATGCCACGTATTAGTATGACTTAGGGAACTGTATAAAACACTACTCGGTAGGAGCTAGGAGTCACGGGCAGACAACAAATAGGATCGGTAGATTCCTCAATCTCACTTTCAACTTTTTTTTTTTGTTTACAACCCCCCTGGCACAGCTGACTTCACAACACAGATAAAGCCTCTGTCTCAGTGTGGTCATACATGTACTGCTTTCTCTCCACAGCAAGAAATTCACTTCACATGAAAACAAACTTGCTTCCCCCCTCTGCCCTTCACCAGTTTTTATTTCCTCTGTATTCTCCATCCCAATAAAACCCCAGAGTCACTGAATTCAGTGTCTGGGGGTCAGCAGTGAGGGCTGCTTGGGGAAAATCCAGCAAACCAGTGTTTTATCAGAGCTCGTCAACTTGGCAAAATGGGAACATGTATAACCACACTGAGGCAGAGCCTTTATCTGTGCTGTGAAGTCAGCTGTGCCTGGAGGCTTGTAAAAAAAAAGAAAAAAAAAGTTGAAAGTGAGATTGAGAAACCTATCTGATCCTATTTGTTGCCTGCCCGTGACTCCTGGCTCATACTGAGTAGTGTTTTATACAGTTCCCTAAGTCATACTAATATGTGGCATTTGCCAGGATAGGTTTCAAAGCACTCTTGTCAAAATAAAGGGATCCCTTTGGGCATGAGGATGAGGACAGCCCTGGGGCCAGGGAGCCGAGACAATCAGAGTCCATGCCAGCTCCTGTTTCATAATGCCTGGTTTCTGGCTCTAATTGCAACGACACCCTGAAATCTTGCACAAATCAGAATTACCTTTTAGGGAACAGCTTTACCGAGGCCCTGTAAAGCTGGGCCTGGCAGAGTTGCGGCACTGATCAGCACGCAGCGAGAACAAGCAGGTGCTGCTGTGATTCACTCCAGGGAGCATCTGCTAATTTTTCTCTTGCTGGCAAAGCCCCATGAATTACCCAACCTCCAACTACCCAAATAAATACACCCCCTGCTATTGTGAGGCAGCAGGAGGCCTCATTTTCCCCTGGAGCTGAGCCAGCGCGACCTCTGATGTAACTTGTGCTTGGGGCCATGCCTCCCTGCCCGCTACACACGTGGTGGCGATGGCGCTCGCGCTCCCACCAGCTGTACGGGGGGGGTTGAACTGGTTGACACCCAGCTGGTTTAATCCAAGCCAGTCTGAGCCCCAGAGCCCGCCCGAGGGCCGCGGAGACTCCTGCAGGGAGAGGATCGTACTCACGGCAGCAGCAGCAGCTTGTCCCGGAAAGCTGCCCGCACGTATTCGTCCAGCTCCGAGGCCATGCCGGCGGCGGGAGCAGCCCCCGGTGCCCAGCGCCTGCAGGGCAAAGCAGGGCCGGCCCCGGGAGCGGCACCAGCCTCCGCCCGGCCGTTGCTAAGGAGACGGCCAGCACAACGTTCTGTTGCCATGGTCACGCGTTCGGGATCCAGGCGGCCTTGCGAGTTTCCCCGCGCTCCGCCCGAGCCCCGCGCGGCTCATTTGCAAGCGAGGGGCAGCGGTGGAAAGCCCCGCGTCGCCCCCATTTCCTGCCAGCCCTGGGGGCGCGCCGCTACTTCCCCTTTGCGCCTCCTGGTTTGCTGATCGTAGCGCCCGTGCTCAAACTTGGTCCGCAGCTGCGAGGCCTCTGGGGCGGCTTCTCCCCCGCCCCGTACGGCACTCCCCATGCCTCCTCAGTGCCCTTCATGGACCCATGTGGGCAAACTGGTGTAGATGCTGCAAGAGTCGGAGCAGCTCCAAGGACTAACCGTGGCCAGGCACATGCCAACAGTAGTGAGGCCCTGGTCCTCCAATTAGCCTGATTTCATAAGACCTGGCTACCAGGGCTGAAACCACAAGTGTCAGCCAAAGTCTGCCGGCACGGTCAGGACCTGGTTGTCCATCCACATTCATACCCCTCTAATTGTATTATCTGAACAATTCCCTAGAGTGGGATGTCCCCCCTCACCGGGGAGGTAGGGCAAGCTTACAATGGCCACTCTACAGAGAAGAACTGAGGCACAGAGAAGCAAGGCCAGATTTTTAAAGTTATTTAAAAATGGGTTCATTGATTTCAATGAAAGTTAGGTGCTTGCATGCCTTTAAAAATCTGGGCCTCGCTATCATGCCAAAAGGTAAAGTGGGCAATGAACTCACCTCTTCCAAACCCCATGTTAGGCTCTTACCAGTAAGCATCCTTCTACCCCTAATGACACTGATTCATTCTTGGCTTTGCTATTTGCATGTACCTAGGAGCCTAGCTACAGACAGGGACCCCTTAGTCATTTCAACACAGGTGTAGGGTTGCATATGCAGAGCACAGCTAGCCAAGGGTTAAAGACCTTTCACTGCACCCTGAACCATGCTTTCCATGTGCATTGTCACATGCTGCCAATTCTTCAGCCCTTGTTTTCTTCCGTAGCACAGTTGCATGCAAAGAACCAGAGGGATATGGATAACCTTCAGAGGGTCCAGAGGAGGGCTACTCATATGGTTAAAGGCCTGCAGGTAAGATCCTACAAGGAGAGAGTGAGGGACCCGAGTCTCTTCAGCCTCAGCAAAAGAAGGCTGAGAGGGGATCTTGCGGCCATCTACAATTTCATCCGGGGGCCAGGAGGAGGCAGCAAGGAATAAGAGACACCACTCTGTTTACCAGGGTGCCCCTTGGGATTACTAGGAACAACAGCCATAAACTGACTGAGAGCAGATTTAGATTAGACATTGGGGGGAAAAAAATTATTTACAGCAAGGGCTGCCAAAATCTAGAATGGGCTTCCAAGAGAGGTGGCACTCTCCCCTACCTTGGAGGTCTTTAAGAGGAGCCTAGACAAGCACCTAGCTGGGGTCATCTGATCCCAGTGCTCTTTCCTGCTGATCCCAGGGCAGGGGGTCAGACTCGATGATCTACTAAGGTCCCTTCCGACCCTAAAAATCTATGATATCTAAACAACATTTACCTGCCCCAACCATCCATGGGCTCCCATCCAATAGATTAGCTCTGTTGAAAAGACACCACCCAGTTAAAAAACCTGCATCTTTCTCCTTGTCTATGGGGGGCATTTGATTGTACTGGAAGGGGCAACTCCAAAACTTTCATGTGCCTCTTTGTGGGAAGCATCGATTGCTCCTCTTGACCTCTGCTGCTGCTATAGGAGCTCATGGGGCTTCCAAAACAATCAGCTCCTTTGAAGCATTGAGCTTCATGCCAAAAAGTCCATCTGGATCTAGTGGCTGCTTTTGAAATTCTAGTCATCTGAGTACGACGACCCAGACTGTTGTGCCACCCTCACTTTCACCTTGTCTGTGCATCTTTCATTTAAAATAGGGGAAAATACCTATGGAAACTGGCTAATTTTTAATAAAGCCCCAACAATTACGGAGGGCAGATCCAGCCCAAGGATAGTTAGCTCCTTTTGGCTATTGACTAGATTTCAAGTAGATGGTGGCACTGATTATCTTCAGAGCAGGCAGAATAGGAGTGAGGCACCACTGCAGAATCCTGAAGGGAAAAGTTGCATCCTGATGGATCTCACCCAGAAAGGAGGGGTAAATGATTCCGCATTATTCAGCTCTGACTCTGGCCCTCTGACTCTTGGAAAGGAATAATATGAAGCATGAGAGAGGGAAGGAAGAAAGAAGCATCCTGAGCCCTTAGTCATAATTAATTATCATGTTAATTGCAGTGAGCCCACCCTCATCTCTGTAAAACACACTCTGCCAGTCACTTCCAACCAAAATATCCAATTTCTCTTGATGCCTATTCAGAGGCTTTTCTGTTTCCTTCCTCATTCCTGCTGACAGCAAGATACCTGTGCATACATAACTTTAATCCTTTATAACCCAATTGTTATACCAGCTGAGGATATTCCGTTATTGTAACAGCACACCCAGGCAGGAAGCTGTGATGCAACTGTTGCAACATCATTAGAAGCTAGGCCACTGACAGTCAATGAAACCCCATCCAAAACTGAGGGTCAACATGTCAGTAAAGATTAGGTATGTGTGTTTTAGTTCAGTCACAAAAAGCAGTCAGGTGTTTTCTATCACATGGCTAGTAAGAGTACAGTGTGCGCCTTACCAGCGGGTATCCTGGGCTGCTGCTTCCAAAGAGGGAATTCGGAGTCATTTCAAGGTGTAATAAACAGAACACCAGTTTATCACTGTTTTGCAGCAAAGCACATAATTGTACCTAAGTTCACTCCTGCTGCCTTTGCTTCTTGGTCAGGCCTGGTCTCAGCTCTCTTCCACGTTCCCTGACAGGAGGATGAAAGCCTGGCAGACCCAAGTGGGAAACCCAGAATAAGGGCATGTAATGACATCCACTGCCCACCTGGACTCCACAGCAGTTGTTCCACTGAAGCTGTACAGAAGATTTGCTGCATGTCAGGCTTTGTAGTAAATCAGAAGCTCTCCAGAATATAATCCCCTACTAGGATTGTGGCTATAATTGATCTTCAGGCAGTGCTAACTCCCTCTGAGTACAATTTATGACAGCTGCCATGTAGTTAAGGAAGTGATAAAGGGTTGCCAGGGGTCATATAGGGCTTTTGCAGCCACTCTGAGCAGGACCTATAAGCAGAGAGGCTGATCTGTAGGGTTGCATGCCCACTGCCTCTTGTAGTAGAGAAGAGATGGGGTGAACCACACTTGAGCAGGCAAAATGGCAGAGCCATCCCTAGGGGTGTGCAGGATCCAGGGCATATCAGCTCGTGTGGGACCGGGGACTGGCAAGTGGCCGGAGTGTAGAGCAGGGGGGTGAGTAGGGGCAGCGAGTGGCTGGAGCATGGAGCCAGCAGCATGTGGTGGCCATGGCGGGGCTTGTTTGGCACTGTCCGTGGGGCCCCACAAAGTGTGGGGCATGGGGCAGTTGCCCTGATTCACGTGCCTGCCCCTCCCCCCACACCTGGGATTGCCCAGCAAATGGGACAGGAAAAGTTTTTGGTGAGGCTGGTGGGGTCTCTCTGGCTCCCTGACTGATTCACGTAGATGCTTAGTGGCATCACACATGCTCTCTGAAGGTCCTAGCTTGGGATGGATCTGGGAAGTATACTACAGGTTTCGCTCGCTTTATGCGGGTTCTGTACGCACGAATTTGCTCTTATACAATGACCTTTTTAATACCAAAAATTCATCATATATGAGGTAAATTCACTCGTATGGGATCTGTGTGGTGGAAGCCCACAGTCAGCTGTTTTGTGCAGTGCATTGAGGGACTGATGTGCACCGAAATATAATCTCCTGTGTGGATCTGTGCTTTTTTAATATATATATGAACATTTTTTGTGTTCCAAGCCAAATCAGTCAAATCAATTCCAAATCTGTGAGTCACTCAAGAACCGTAAGTGGCCCTACTACTGGCAAACATCCTTCACCCCCAGCTGGGGCTTCAGATGTTTCCATCGCCCTGAAGCTTAGGGTTCAGATGCCCCCGAGTTTCACTTGCCCTCAGCCGTAAGGGCAGAGGAGCACAGATAAATATAGTTTCCTGTGTGGATCTGTGCCCCTTGCTCATCTGTGACACGTGTTTCTGTAGGTGCCACCCCAATTATGATAGTGCCCTGTGCTTGTGTGTACTGTCTGCTGTTGGTGAGTACCAAAATTGTCTTGTAAAAGTGGTAGAAATGGGTCTGGAGGGTCAGTACAGTTGAGGTCTTGGAACATATCCCTATTTGTTACAGTGTAGAGTGGGTTCCCTTTATGTGAATTCAAGTTGTGCGCGATGTTCCAGGAATGTATGTATACCATAAAGCAAGAGAAACCTGTACACATTTGCAGCCTCTAAAGGTCCTTCAACTTTTCCTCCCTGATGGGACACTCCACCAGGTCAACCTCCAAGGTTTTGTGCTCCAAGGGCTCCCTGCAGCAACCCATGTGAGATCTGCCTGGTAAGGGGGAGAGAGTGCATTCAGCTCTTCTAGGCTTTCCAGAGATCCCAGCAAGGCTTTGCAGGGGGTGCCCTGGGCAGGGTGTGCTCTTCCTGTGAGACATCTGAGAACTTCTCTGGGATGACCGGTCCCTGGGACAGTGGGGCATCCAGCTGCGGTCCCAATTTATTGCTCTGACTTGTCTATATATTCATTGACTCAAAACTCACTGAAGATCCTTTTATTGATCCCTGTGGATTTTGAAGCAGGCCTTTGCTGAGCTGCCCATCCAGCCAGCTCTCCTTTCCAGCACACTTTTCATGAATGACTTCCTGGTCCCCCTCCTTTCAGCTTGCAAACCTGATACATGGGAAAAGAAGAACCTAAGTGCTGACACCTGGATGGAGACACATGACTTGATTCCCCCCCTCCATCCCCTGGTGTACCCTAGCACCATCCCCTCCCCTCCAACATCCATACTCCCCAGGAACACCAAGGCAAACAGCTGCAGGATCCAGGCTGTGGAGTCCACCTGTCACTGCTTAGCTGTTCCCCTCCAAGTGCAACAGATGGCAGATCTGGGGAGAGGAGCGATTCTCCGGTGAGGATCAGGTACCCAGGTGATGTGC